TGTGTTTTCTGACTGAGAATCGGAAACTGTCACCCAACTATCACAAACCAAGATTACCTACAGATGCAGTATTCCTATCCCGAGAGTAGTGTATGGGCTAAAGTTTTGTTTTAAATTTTAACCACTGTGCTTAAGAGACCTACAAAACAAAAAATGTCCCTAACCTAGAAGCGCCACTTCCCCAAGGATAGATAGCTTCCTGGAGTGATGGAGGTTGCTCATGTCAGATATTAAGCTATATGATTTCACTTAGGTAAACAGAGTTAGATTGTCCCAAAGGCACAGGATGTACTTGATACATGGAGGTGGGAGGTACATAGGCAGGAAGTCTGTCAGGATGTGTGCTTGCCCCCAGCTGGATGAAGGCAGGAAGTATGTAACCTTGTGGGGTTTGCCTTTATAAGTACCTGAGTAACATAATTCGACAGTGTTTTCTGGGATTTCTGTTTATGACCTGGCCAGTGTCTATCGTCTTGCACAGTATTTAATAAAGCTTGCTTCAAATTTGGCTACAAAATTGTGGTAGTGGTCGTTAAGAAAAAATAATAAGAAAGAGGCAGCTCCCAAATCCAATTAGGTCCAATCAAATCAAATCAAAATGCCCATCGTTTTATTAAAAATGACGCTTTTGGGTGGCCGAGCACATGGTGTGTAGACAGGACAGCAGAGAGCCCATGCAGACCCAAAAACCATGTGTTTCTGCTCTGGGAGCCCATTTAAATACCCTGTGGGAGTGGCGAGGTCAGGACCTGGCATGCTGGGATTTGGAGTCCAGACCAAAGCAACTCCAAGGCCTGGGGGCTGGGATGGATGCCAGGGGATGGAGGCTACACTCCCAACTTAACAGTGGTCGTCTAGCTCAAACAAAGGCATTAAACATAACAAGTGGGCTACTCTACTTGAGACCAGAATGCCTGTAACCTTTGAGTTCAGCTATATCTACACTTCTCTCTCATCCCTGAGCCCGAACAACGCACCTGCAAGCCCCTTACAAGATCGTTTTCTTTCTTCCTTTCTTTCTTTCTCTCTCTCTCTCTCTCTCTCTCTCTCTCTCTCTCTCTCTCTCTCTTTCTCTTTCTTCTTTTTACTTTCTCTGTGTAGCTTTGAAGACTGTCCTGGAACTCACTCTGTACACAAGGCTGGCCTCAAACTTATAGAGATCCTCCGTCCTCTGCCTCCCAAGTGCTGGGATTAAATGTGTGCCACCACTGCCCAGCCCAAGTTCATTTTCAAAAAAGATATATTTCTTTTAAGATAAGAGAAACAAGTAAACTATTTCATATGTTCTTTCCTGAATTTTTAAACTTTGCTTAATTTTTGAGATTGGTTGTAAATTACATTCATTAAGCAATATCATTTCAAAAACCAACACAAAAATCATTTATCTAGCAAAGACACATAGGTGCAATTCTCTCTCTCAAGAAGCCCACGCCCATGTGCTGTGTGTTTACTATTTTCCTTTTCTTGACATTCTCTCTATCCTCTCATATTTAAGTTTAAAACAAGCGCTATTTTTTATCTCTACTTAATAAACAAGTTTACCATGACTTGCCTTCTTCTCTTCATTGAAGTCAAGGACCTTGCTTTTCCTGAGTGAAGGATCCTGAGGGGGGAGTCTTGCAGCCTCTGACAGCCATAATGGGCTACAGTTCCTCTCTGCTACAGACACATGGGGTATCTCATTCAGATCATTATCTTGGGTCTGGTTTTGCGACATCCTGCTAGCACTAGGGAGATTATTATTGATGCCTTAGGTGCTGTTCCGTTGCTGTGAAGAAACACCATGGCCAAAGCAACTCTTAAAGAAGAAAACACTTAATTTGGGACTTGCTTACAGTTTCAGAGGTTTAGTTCCATTATCATGGTTGGAAGCATGGTGGCATGTAGACATGGTACTGGAGAAGGAGCTGAGATCTCACCTCCTGTTCTCTGATATGGTCTCTCACAATCAGAGAGAGATACACTGTGCTTGAGGTAGGCTTTTGAAATCTCAAAGCCAACCCCCAGTGACACACTTTCTCTAAGAAGGCCACACCTCTTAATCCTGCTCAAACAGTTCCATGGCCTGGTGACTAAACATTCAAATATATGAGCCTATGGGAGCCATTCTCATTCAAACCACCACATTCTCCTCTCTGACCCCCATAGACTTGTACCATATCATAATGAAAACTGCATTCAGTGTGATTTCAAAAGTCTGCATCCTTTTCAGTCATGAGACTGTTTCAAAGTCCAAAGTCTCTTCTGAAATTTGCAGCAATCTCTTAACTGTAACACCCTGTAAAATCAAAAGCAGAAAGCAGACTACTTATGTCCAACATACAATGGCACACAATATGCCTTGCCATTCCAAAAAAAGAAAAAGTAGTAAGGAAGGAAATACTAGATCAAAGAAAGTCCAAAAGCCAGCAGACCAAACCCCAAATTCTGCAGCTCTCTTTGCCCAATGTCCAAGAGCATAGAAGATTCTTCCCTCCCAGCTTTATTGACTGCAACACTCTTCTCTCTCTTGGACTGGTTTCCTACAATGTCTACCATTCTCGTCAGCAGATATCCCACACCTCTGGCTTTTCCAACATCTTGGTGTCTCCAAGGCAATCCAAGCTTCACAGTTTCATACAATGACCTCCCTGGGCCTCTATGCAGGGACTCCCTGTCATAGGCCTGGCCTCAGCAGCTTTTCTTAATCAAGAAAGATTCCATAACTTCTTTCCTGTGTCATTCTTGACTCTAAAGCCAGAACCATGTGGCTGAAGCTGCCAAATTCTTCTGCTTCCTAGGGCTGGGCCCTGCCCCCACTCCTTGAATTACATTTGCACAAGCTTTGTGTTGTTTGTAGTTGCTTAAGCTTTCCTTTAATGACTTTTCACAAGTCTGAAGCTTAGCTGGGTGAGGTCTTTTCCTGTGGACACCACTCCCTTTATTCGATTTCACATCAGGCCTTTCTTTGGACATTTTATCTCGTTGAACACAAGAATTGGCTCCAAACTTACATTTCTTGGTATTCTTTTTCTCTTCAAATTCTACATTTTGTACTTTTCTTTGCCAGTGTGTCCCTTTATCACTCTTGAGTAGGTCTGCACAAAGTGATCACTCATCACCTCATAACACAGTGGCTAATAGATAAAGAGCAAAAAGCCACATATCTGCCAAATATCATAGAAATAGTCCCAATATTAATTCCCTCTGAGACTTCTTCAGCTGGGCCAAGGCAGTCCACACAGCCCTTGACACTACTGTCTTCCAAGCTCCTCCTTGGAGGCCCATTAAGCTCCACTTCAAGCGTTCAACTGTTCTTCTACAGGTCCCCAACTCTTCCATTTTTCTCCAAACAACAGCCTAGTCAGACCTATCACAGCATTACCCCACCCAGGTACCAACTTCTGTCTCTGTTACTGTTGTTCTATGATGGCAGGTGTGGCAGGCATGATGCTGGAGAAGTAGTTGAGAACTACATCCTGATCTCCAGGCAGCAGAGAGACATTTGAAAGCTCAAAGCCCACCCCTGGTGACATACTTCCTCCAAGGTCACGCCTCTAAATCCTTTTAATCCTTTCAAATAGTGCCATTCCTTAGTAACTAAACACTAAGGTACATGAGCTTGTGGGGGCCAGTCTTCTTCAAACCACCACAATGCCTATGAATACTATCCCACAAAATATCTGACTCCAAGAAGAACCACATGTTTGAAGGTTTTAAGCATCTAAGACTATGGAAGGGAAGAGGGACTTTGGGGCTAGAAAGATTCTTCAATAGCTCAACAAAGCTTGCTACTCTTCAAAGGACTTAGAATCCAGGTCAAGAGGTCAAATGGCTGACAACCACTTGTAACTCTAGCTCCAGGAGATCTTATGTCATCCTCTGGCTTGGTGCGAACCCACACGCATATACATATACTCACACACAAACATACACATGGTAGTGGGAGTGGGGCAGGGCAAAATCCTGTAAACCCAGGGCTGCAGGATCTCTACAACACAAGGCAGCAACAGGATGTTCAGGAAGAGTCCCAAGTGAGGTCTCAGCATCAATGGTGTAGCAGCAGAGACCAGGAACCTTGAACCAGACCAATGATTCTCAGCAATGAATGCCTGCATGTAAAAAAAAAAAAAAATGCATGAATATAAAGGGGTTTACTGTGTGACTTACTATGTCACACTGCAGTTTCCATTCCTTTTTCTTTATTTTCCCCAGTTTTTGTGGGGTGGGGTAGATGGGTGAGATCAGGATGCATAATGTGAAAGACACAAAGAATATCTAAGAAGAATAGGGAGTTTCTTGGGGAAGATGGCAAGAAATTATGGGAGCATGTGAAGAAATTTGTTGGGGTGGGGGTGAGTTGCTTTATGTAAATGATACTATGGGCCTACAGGCTGAAAATGGATGCCTCAACAGTACAAAAGAACTTTGGGTAACTGTCCAGGAAGTGAAAAGTCTTTGTCATTTCTAGAGTTTTGGAAGTTGCTTACTTCTTGTTTACTTAGGTAATATTATATCCTTCTAGAGTCTTTGATGGAGTTGAAGATTAGATAGTTATAGTTTTCCTTTGTTACAATAAAAGATAAAATAGATCTAAATATTGTAACTGTAATTCTTGCTTGATAACTGTTTTTGTTAAATGTAATTTTACTATGTTAAAGTGAAAGCCTTTCTTTTTTGTTTAAACAGAAAAAAAGGGGAAATGGTGTAGGAGGCCCTTCTGTATTTGTGTTGCTTTCATTGGTTAATCAATAAAGAAACTGCTTGGCCTGATAGGGCAGAAATTAGATAGGCAGAAAGACAAAACTGAATGTGGGGAGGAGGAAAGCAAATAGAGCCAAGCCACCATGAAGCTGCCAGGTCAGACATGCTGAATCTTTCCTGGTAAGCCATGACCTTGTGGTGACATACAGATTATTAGAAATGGGTTGAATCAAGATGTGAGAGTTAGACAATAAGAGGCTAGAGCTTATGGACCAAACAGTAATTTAATTAATACAATTTCTGTGTGTTTTTTTCAGGGATTAAGCTATCTGGGCAGCAGGACGCAGCCCGCTGCTCCTCTTACTACATGTAGATAAAGGATCTCTTACATAACAAAAGCTGTCTCAGAAAGCCCATTAAGAAAATGGGCAATAAAGAGTCTGGAGATTGTGTTGTCTACCCTGTGAACCAGTCTAAGGTAAGAGTCTAGGGAAGGAACATATGATAATTGACTTCTGTTTTAGAGGCTTTCTCTATAGGCAGACAGAGGAATTGCAGAGAAAATGCATCCCTGTACTTTGAAGGACAATGAAAAGCATAAAGTATGAGAGAAGGGTGTAATGGTCTGTCCAGTCCCTTTAAGAGACAAGTCCTGCCCATTCTGCCCTCCTTCCATGGGGCAAGTGGCTTTTCCTTCCACTTCCAGTCTCTCTTCTGAAGAAGTGGCTGCAGTCTCCTCTCTTCCTCTCTGTTTCGTTCCCTCTCTTTCTCTCTCCCCCTTCCCTTTTACTGAATAAACTATATCCAAATTCATTCTTCATGGCATGCCAATTCGTCTCTATCTCTCACCCGCTCCTGGTGGGACTGGCTGCCCACCTACCTGCCAAAGTCTCCCACCCACCTGGGACCCACAGAGGCCTTGGGTGGTGGGACCCGGCTGCCCCTCGTAGCCCACTGCTCCCCTCAGGGAACTATGCAGTGTTTTATCTAAATTATTACAAAAGGGATTTGAGAGATCTTGGAGTTCAAGGACAAAGTCAAAAATGCAATGTGGTTTTCTGAGCCCCAAAGGTACTTAATTAAAATTGAGTATTTACCAATCCTAGTGCTCCAAATCCTCACCATCATCCCTCACCGATTGTGCTCCTCTGAGGAGATTTTGTTCCTGGACCTGGGTCAGAGTCTTCACCCTGATAGATCAATTAGAGAGAAATAATATTGAAAATCAGAGAAAAGAGACTTATGCAATATTGTCATATTTGCAATATTTGCAGATGAAAAGGTTTAGTTTTCACAAGCGTGGCTCATCATGAGGACACCTGCTGTGGTTTTAAGGTTTTCATTTGCTAGGGCAAAGGACTCAACCTGGGGCAAATGGACAATGACAGAAATAGGCAGTGGAGGTAGCAGTTCTGACCAGCAAGTTTGGAGGGGTGTGTGTGTGCGTGGATCCAGAAGAATCATGCCCCATTGTTGGTCATCTTCACGGTGCCATCCTGCTCCTGAATTTTAGAGACTGTGGACTTTTCCCTGGTGGGGAGTTTCCAGTCTTTCTGCAAAGTAGCTTCACTCCCATGCAAACTTCCATGTTTCTTTTCCTTACCCTCCCTCCTCTCCTGCCATGCAGTAACCCAAGTCTACCTCTGGGGTCTTGACAAGAGGTTTAAGTGTAAGTAGAAGGCAAGAGCTAAGCAGTCCTGCTCAAGGTTATAGCCAAGCCACCTTTGTCTGTGTTCCTGTCTCTCCTGTAGGATGTCTGACAAGTCATCAGCACTGTATGAAGTCTTCTCCTGGGAGACAAGTTTCTCCTCTGGCTGACACCACGCTTCATCCTGTCCCTTCTCCCAGCATCAGATTCCTGGGGAAATTCCCATTCCTTGGGAGCTATTATTTCAATAATCTGATAGCCAAAGGGAAGAGCAGGAATGTCTCCTTTTAGAATATCTTCACTCCTGCCAGGATGGTTAAGCTTCTTCTTATGTAAGAGAGAGAGAGAGAGAGAGAGAGAGAGAGAGAGAGAGAGAGAGAGAGAGAGAGAGAGAGAGGAGAAGGAGGAGGGGGAGGGGGGGGGGGGGGGGGGGGGGGAGGAGGAGGAGGAGGAGGAGGAGGAGGAGGAGGAGGAGGAAAGAACAACCCAACATATTTAAAAGGCATTCCATGGAAATTTGAATCTGGATCTTGGCTTCCCCAAAACTAGCTTGGCCTTGATCCTTGGTATACCTGCATGTTAAGAAATGCCCCAATTTTTGAAAACTTCAGCTAGTAACATCCTATGACACAGACACAGAAAGGCCCAGCTGTCTTCCTTACGTCATTCCCCTTTCTCCTTGGCTTCCATTTCATTCTGTTTGCTCTTTTCTCTGCTGCAGTCTGTAGAGCTTCCTGGCTCTGTTTACACATTTCGTACAGACTCATTCACCACTGCCTAGATGTGGTGAGCGCTGAGCCAAGTTCATGTGAATGAAAACGAAGGAGTCATCATCACAGAACACACCCCAGTGCACTTTTTCCCCAACTGGCTTCCCAGGTATTGGCCTGTGTGAACAATGAATGGGAAATGTCTCAAGTAGAACTTTCCGCACCCCGACTTTAAACACTACAGGTTTGCTCAATCTTGAAGCCTAAAAGGGATGATTTGCTGATAATTGATGTGTTCTCACTTGATTCTTGAGATTCTTTCTTGCATTCCAAACATAGTTAGCCTGTGCTTGCACCTTGGGGGACAGTTTGCAGAAGAAAAACTCTGTAACAAGACTTTTTTTTTTTCCACCAAATGTCCCAAATGTATTTTTCAGATTTTCAAATTCAAATGATCAGTGTAAAGTCCAGAAGGTCTAAGGAAATTCACATTTGATGAAAGCCTTTTGGCAAGGAAACCCTCACAAGCTGAGGACAGGTAGTGGAAGGCGGCGGTTGCAGGTGCAGAGGCACTGCAGTGTCTAAAGGTGACTCTCTGACTCATTATAATCCTAAAAGGCAAAGACACACTCCTGCAGCGATTTAAGATGTGGATGAAACATGGGAAACTACATGAAACGGAAGGTGCATGACAAAACCTGCACTGTCAAGTGACCCAGAAACTCTGCTTATAAAAAATTACCTCCAAATCCCACGAAATGTAACATAAAAACCCCTATCTTTATACACCTTTATTCCATAAAATTGAGAGTCTCTGAGGGCTCTTCTTATTGTTCAGGCATGGATCTGAGTCCAGAAGGAGCCTGCTGAGATTTCCAGTTCTTATATTGCAACACAAGGAATTAGACCAGGGACAAATGGATAATTGTAGAAGCAAGAGACAAGTTATGAAGAAAGTGTTCCTTCCTTCCCAAGCAAGGAAGCAGGTAGAGACCTAAGAAGTTAGAACTCTAAGGGCCCCAGCCATGAGTGTGGTGTGCCTTTGTGGGCCACATACCACCTGCACTGGTGGGAGATCTTCCTGGCTGTTCTTCATACATGCTTTGTTTCTAACATCCCTGGCTGTTAGACCTGGTTGTTAGGCTCTGTAGACCAGGTTGGCCTCGAACTCACAGAGAGCCATAAAGGCATGCACCACCGCACCCAGCTTCATGTTAATCTTGGTGCCTCTTTCCCAAAGCCTTACTTACTCTTCTGTATTACAGATTGTTTGAGATGTCAGTTTCTGTCTATTAACCACCATTTCATTCTAAATTTCTGCTGTTATGGTTCTGAAGCTTATTCAGAAATCTGAGACTGTGTTATCTTCAGCATTGTTCTGTTCAAGACTGATGTGGCTATTTGGGATCTTTGTACTAAATGTGCTGCTGGATTTGAGTTGGATGCATCTTATTCGCCTGCTTATTTATTTATTTAGTTGCTTATTTGTTTGCTTTTATTTATTATACTCATTTATTGCATTTATGTTCATCAAGAAAATCAATCTATAATTTTCTAATTTTTCTTTTTTGACTGAGTGGTATCCAGAATATCCTGGCTTTGTAGAATAAACTTGGAAGACGTCTTTTCTTTTATATTCTATGGAATTGTTTGAACAACGGTGTTGGTTCTTTTTTAAAAAATCTGATAAAATTTAGCAATGAGTCCATCGATAATCTTGGGCTTTTCTACATAGGAAGACTTTTTATTAACACCTCCACCTCATTCAGTACTTTTATTAGAGATGTTTACTTTTTAAATACACTTCGAGTTCCATTTGTTTTCATTTCACTTGTACTTAAAACATGCCAGATTCCCAGCAGAAGAAAAGTGTATTCTACACAAGAGTGAAGTTCTTCTCAACTAGACTTAGAGAGCAGCTCTGTGGAGCAGGACCCATCAAGTGCCAAGTTTGTCACGCAACACTGCTCATATAAATAATCCAGAAACACACCACATTAAACTCTGTAATTGAGGCACCTAGTTTTAAAATGAGGCAATATATGCTAATTTTCTTTAAATGGTAAGAATACAAAACAAAAGAAAGGTAAGAGAGATTTACAAAGAAGACTTCAGAAGTAGTTTTCAAAGAGAAGAGAATAACAGAGACTGACGTATTAATACGGGGGAAATGAGAGAGGAAAGAAATCATAGTAACATCCCAGGATAGGAACAAAGGAATGAAAGAGTTAAGCTATAAAAGTTCAGGGGGGGGGGAATGAAATTAGACTTAAAAAAAGAACAAACTTAGTGCAGGACACCTTCTCTAAGTTCTGGTCAGGCTCTGAGTAGAGGTGCAGTGTTCCTGATCCTGTAAGTCTCTGCCTGCATGGAAGGAGAATGGCGGGTAGTTATCTTCCCTTCCTCAGATCAGTTAGGACTCTAGCAAGCCTCCCTGAAGCTTCTCAAGGGGCAGGTTGAGAGACTATTGATCAGGTCAGGGATGTGTTTCCTGGAGACCTCAAGGCATCACAAGCAACTGAACCATTTGGGAGCACTCTGGTTTCTGCGTGTTTAGATCCCTGCTGTGGTCATTTTCTCAAAGACTAAGACTCCAGGCACCCAACTGTGCCCCTAACCCTTGGGCCACAGTAAAGACTTTTTCTTTTAAATAAACCCTTCTAAGAGTTACTAGGGCATATTTTATAGGCTGGATGAGGTTTCAGCAGGTGAGTCTAGACTCAGCATCTGGGTCCCGGCTAACAAACAAGCCCCAGAAACCAGAGGGTGTGGCCAAGGTGGGCCAGCTGCTCCCTCCAAGTGTACTTTCCCCTTGACAATAATGATGATAGTAATATTGTTAATTTTTGAAATCACAATGTAATTGCACCATCTCTTCTCTTTCTTTCCTCCCTTCAATCCCTCCTCTGGAATTCCCCTTTGCTCTTTCTCAACTTCATTGTTTCTTGAATCGTTTTTACATTTGTATCTATATCCCCAATTCGTTATCGGTACCAAATGGTCTCTTTCTCAGTCTGTGATAGCAACAGGAGTGACCTGCACGCAACCCACGTCGCACTCCTTGCTGCCCTACCAGGCACTCCCCCCACCACTCAGTCTCTTGGAAGACACCCTCATCCAGAACTACGTAACAAAATGACTTTCCTCACACCACAATCAACACAGGCTGCCCGCTGGAACACAAATATGCGGTTTCTAGTGTCTTCAGGTCTACAGAGGGGTTAGTCCTCAACAAAGAGACCTTCTCAAGGTGACCTCTGCAAGAGTCCTTTGAGAGCTTACTGAACCAGGAGATGGATTTCTTCTCCAGTGCTATCTTTCTGTGCAGGTCACATCACTCTCAGACCAAAGCCCTGACTTTGAAAGGACTCAGGGCAGCTGCCCATGTGGTGTGATGGCGGTGATTGTATTCTCATCTTGCCCTATGCTCACAC